ACGAAGTATAATATTTTGCAAATAAATTTGAGCTTCGATCCATCGTTTTTTAAATGTAGAAGCCAGCGTTCGGTTGATCCGAGATAACAATTTAGAAAATAAGTAATACAGTGATAGTCACTCATAAATGGAATGATTGTAAATGCGTCCATAATCTGGAGCTGATGTAAAGTATGCATACTCATGGTCAGAATAAAAAGGTCTACTCAGTAGACCTATCTCTATTATGAGTCTTAAATGGGAGCTTTCTTTTTCATCGAAGTGATTTTTAGACGGTTAGCAAAGTTATTTGGTAAACATCGGTGTCCAGGATGTGCAAACGACACCACTGAAAATGCTATGCTTGACGACGAGGGATGAATGATATAATTGTCGTTGACAACGAAGAACTCGATCTGCAGACAAACAGAGGGAATTTTCAAAAGAAGATTAATTCTTCTTGGCATTTCTAGTCACATTCCTGTAACGGGCTGGAATATTGTCAAAACATTAAAATAAATATTGATGGTGCTTACCGGCCATTCTCTTTGGAGAACCCGAACTATATGACTGGGTATTTGTGGACCAAACAATGGATTCAATTGTGGTAACGAGCACATCAACCAACTAAAAAGATCGACATGATCAGAAGGAGACTCACAACAGATAACAGCATACAGAGCTGAGTATTATCATTATTTGCATTATTCTACAATGAATTTATTGGTTTAAAAAAATTTGATTCTTCTTACGATCTATTAGGTCCCTTTGGTACCACCAAGGGACCTCCACATCCAACCAAAACCCAAAATATAGTTATAACTGTCAACGGAACTTCGTAGCCCATTTCCCACTAGATGATTTGTAATATGCGCCTTTGAACTGAATGAGCTCTCTACGAACATTGGCCGTGTAAAACAGATCGGTTCAGTTTGCACAGGACGATGTGTGGCCCAGGCCAATCTTGCGTCCAGATTGATGTGTTTTGGCTTGACACTGCCAAACAATAGGTTCTTTCTGAAAGGCAGAAAGTACGGTGCAATATCACATCCTGGTGCTCAGGACTAATAGGTACTTGTAGTGACAGTGTCAATCTGTTCCGCTCATGAACCTTTTCCATCTTCCGGACCAAGATTACCTCGTTGGTCACGGTACCCTGACTCTCACTTTCTGCACGCTTACTTACCTATACGCTTCTCTCTCTACTCTCCAGCTCATAACAATACAACAGTCGTTGAGGTTTCGTGATATCAGTCGTTCTGCTTTGGTTTGTTACCTCGCCCGTTGTTAGACGTACGAATTCGCGGACATCATCAACCCCGAGACTAAATTGGTTTCATAGTTATCGCGCATTTTAGTTTCGTTATTACTGGTACATTATTTCACTTGCTTAGTCCTTTCAATCTCGCTGGGGTAACCTAAGATTTATTTTCACCACCTTTAATAAGTGGAGACATAGACCTCGTGCATTTTTTCCTCATCACTTGCGTACATAATGCAAAACTCATTGATCGACGATCAAGTCAGCGCAGAAGTCAACTTAAAGCAGCAGGATAGCCTCCACGTTAGTGATTTAGTGGCTAGAATACCAGACTTCATCCCCGAAGACCCGGAGTTTTGGTAAGCTCAAGTGGAAGGACAATTCCGGCTGACCAGGGTGACCAATCAGGTCACCAAGTTCACACAAATCGTGGGACTTCCCACGCTCCATGTGCCCGGGCTTAAGGGACGTAGTTTGCAACCCCCCACCCGATAGACCTTACGACACATTAAAGGAGGCGATAATCAACCGTTTCAACATGATGGAAGACAACCGTCTCAAACAGAAACTGAACGGAATCTGTCTAGGGGACAACAGGCTACACACTCCCACGCAGCTACTCAGCTATATGAGGAGCCTAACTTCCCGTTTACACTTAAGTGAAAATGTGCTACGCATTTGTTGGATGCAAGCACTGCCTGAATACGTCGAGACGTTCTTTAGGGTATTCGCAAATAAGGCTACCCTAGACGAACTTGCAGAGGCAGCCAACAGCATTTGCGCACACTCCCCGTAGGCTCCACCGTCGCTCGCGTATCCCCAGAATCGGGGAATTATTCGTGGCAGGACGCAAACGACCAAGTGATTCGGCGTCTGGACGAATTAATGACCCAGGTAGCCGCACTCAACATTTCCCGTGACCGATCGCGTTCTACATCCCGTTCCCGCTCTCGCTCGCGTTCCTCCTCCCGTTCACTGTCCCATAGTCGACAAAGACGTCCTAGATCACAAAACATATCTTCGGACGTTTGCTGGTACCATCGCCAATATGGTGACGCAGCTCGAAGATGCACGAAACCTTGTAGTTACAAGGCATCACAATAGGGAAACGCCTAATCCGACCGGCCCAGGCGACGACCGTGTCGGGTTTAGCTAGGCCAAGTCGCTTATTTTACGTCACAGATGAGGTCACTGGCACACATTTTTTAGTCGATACCGGTGCCCAAGTTAGCATTATCCGCCCTCGTCTCATCGATCAGCGCCATTCATCGACTGTTGAGTTGGT